CCTCACGAAGATGAGCTGCCAACCACCCTAGAAAAAGAGAGACGTAGCTCGGCATACACGACGCTCGGATCGGCACACCAATGAACGCTGATCAACACCTCGTCGCAAGGGCCCGGTAGACATTGGCATCTAGCTCAATCAACAGAAGACTCCCGACATCGACCCGTAGACCAGGCTGTGCTAACTCACCAGCCACAGCACATTTGTTCACTAACATTTTGACGCTAGAAGGAGGGCATGTCGCAGGAGCAACTGATAGGGGTTCTCCCCGAGGGAGAACCACCGACCGGCCTCCCTTTTGTTGAACCAAAAAGTCAGGCCCTCCCCGCCCCCGGAGACAGGAGGATCCTGGCTTCGACGCTAGATCGCTACTATTGTTTGTTCAATGACCCGGGATTGTCACCCCCGGGGCTCACCATAGGGCCCTCGGTCGTGACACCCGAGGCATTCCTTAGCCTAACCAAGCAAGTACATGCCATGGCGGGCATGATGCAGATGCTCGCTCCAATCATTCCTCAGATCGTGCGGCTAGCGACGCCCCCGACCGACCCATCCCAACAGCGACCGAACAGGGAGCAGGTCGGGACCGGAGAAGCCCAAGAGCAAGCAACGTACCAGAGAGGTCTGCCCGAGTAGAGCATACCAGCACCCTGCCGAATCACACCGCTCCACTCCGGTCTTCTCGAAAACTGGCGATTCATGAAAAGGTTCGTCCCCTGGACTCCCGGGCAGACCAAAGGCTGCCCGGCCAACCGTGCCTCCCACAGCACAGCCTACAGTTCCGATCAAAGTAGCTCCTCGGCCGCAACCGCCTGCGTCGTGCTCCTCGGCCCCATGTTGCCCGAGACCACACTTGCGCGGCCTGCTCGCCCGAGTCCAGCTCCTCGACCGCAGCCGCCTACGTCGTGCTCCTCGGCCCCATGCTGCCCGAGACCACACTCGCGCGGCTTGCCCGCCTACGTCGTGTTCCGCGGCCCCATGCTGCCCGAGACCACACCTACGCGGCTTGCTCGCCCGAGTCTAGCTCCTCGGCCGCAGCCGCCTGCGTCGTGCTCCTCGGCCCCATGCTGCCCGAAGACCACACCCTCGCGGCCTGCTCTCCTGAGCCCAGTAACCGCTCCTGCGCGGCCTGCCCGCATGAGGGGCCTACCACCCCTACGGCCGAGCCCAACTTGACCTACGAGTCATACTTCGGGGTTCCTCGGACCACTCACTACTCAGTGCCACCTCTGCACATCCAACCCTCGTCAATTGCCAAGCTCCACGATTCCCACGCCCTTGGCGATGAATCGGTCTCCGCCCGACAGAGATAGTTCCTTAAAACCGAAGCCATGCCTCGGACCCCCCTTACGGCAACCGACGCATAACTTCCTTTGGGAGGGGAGTATGATGAGTGTGATAATTATGATAAGACTTACGTGACATCAGCTGACGCCCCACGTTTCTGTCGGGCTGACAGCACCTGGCAAACACGGGCCGAAACGGCAACCGAGGCCCATTAACGACTGCTCAGGCTCTATCCCTCATGCCACGCCAACGGCGATGTCAGACACCGTCAGAGGTACGATCCTACTCCCTGCGGGCAGGCACATTAGGTAACACTAAACGTCCCTATAAATACCCTCGCGTTCTAAACAAGAGGGGGGAGGGGGGGGGGACAACAGATAAACACAAACAAACTTCCTGCGACCTTCAACTAACTTGATCGTCGGAGGGGTCGGGTCAAGCACTCCGACCCGACCCGTGTGCAGGAACGAAGATGATGCGACTCTCACCGGACACACCAAGCGAGGAGCCCCTTCCCGGAGGAAACGACGACCCACCTCCACGACTGAACCGACCGAGCCAGCGACCTCAGCGGTCCCGAGGAACCCCCTATGGAGATCCCTGTCATCCGGACCCGAATCGAACCGCGTCGGCCCCGAGACCACGGCTTAAGGTTGTTTACACTAACACTTACTATTTTTTAATATTTAATTCCTTCCAACGAAAGAAAGGAACTTGAATAACGGGATGATATAATAAAAGGCACAATATCAAGAAAAATTTCTCAAGACTACATAAAGAAAAAAAATTCTTTGTAAAAAGAGAAAAAACTATATTAATTAGCAAAAACTAAAAAAACGAAGAGCCGTCGGTAGCCTCCGAGGAAGAACAAAAAGTTGGACAGCCTAC